CCCCCCCCCCCCCACTCCCTCCCCGACACCCAGTGACGTTTGTCCACCACACTGGAGAGGAGACATCCCTTTTTTAAATATCACATAGCAATGCAATTTAAAATGTCACCCAGATGTTTTCATCTTTTTTTAACATTACTCAACTACTGATATAAGTTTGACTCTCTCTTTTTTTATATTTTAAGATCTGTGAGTCATGGAACACCTTTTCCATTTTTTTATTTTTTAGATTTTTTTTTGAGAGACAGGGGCAGCAAATATATATTTAAAGTCTTAATTTTTCTGCAAGCTGCTTTCTCTAACAAGAAGGCTGTACACGTAGCCTTAATGTATGTGATTACAAAAAAACTAAGAAGGAAGTCATGATTTCATCAGTCGCTGTAGAAGGCATTTGAATGTGAGATGTGGAGAGATCAGGAAAGGTGGAAAGACTGCTGGCCTTCGCGAGCCGCAATCAACAGTTTCTCTCGCATGGTCTCTATGCTGGAGTAGTCAGGCAGCTTCAGGTAGTTGACACAGGTCATGACTGAGGGGAGGAAGTCATCCGGGTTCTCTGTTGACTCGAACGTCTTCCTCACGATCGTCAGAGGGGGATTCAGGCTCCGGAAACCTGAGACACAAGACACACGACACCACGCGTCAGGCACAGATATAGCACGGACGTGACTTACATTTTATAGAGGGATGATGATAATTACCGGGGCTGATAAATTATTGGCTGATAATGTGAAATTTATATCATGATGCATTACCCGCATAATTAAATTATAGGTGATTATCGGTTATTATAATAGAATCTGAATTCTCATTCCAAACGTTTGATAGGTTGAATGTTCTATGAAAGCTAAAGTATGTTTGTGAAGTTTTTTGATCAACATCACTAGAATATCAATATTATCAATATCAGCGATGAGTTAATTATCGGTTATCATATTGGCTGAAAAAAAAAGTAAAATAATCAACGTGTGAATCCCATGTATACCTTTATACAAGCTCAAAAATGAACAAACAAAACAAAAAGTTGACGCATTTGATGAGTTTATGTTTGTGTATGCGAGGCGACTCACCTCCGACAGGCAGTCTGGGGCTTCCTGTGACAAACTGCAGAAACAGTCTCTGCTGCTCGGCATCGAAGCTGCTCAACACCTCAAACAGGAACCGTACCGCACGGCTGCAAAGACATGAAATAAATAATCAAACGTGTCTTGAGATGGAAATTCACTTACACCTATAGTTTGCTATGTAGGGAGTACAGAAAAGTAGCCTGGACCTATTTTGTATGGTACTCTGTACAACCATCCCAGCACTGTATTCACAATAAGTCTGCGAGTCTCATCGTAGGTAAATTCTCCAGGGAAAAGCTAAATGACTGTGACTGTTTGCATTATGAGGCAATTCTTTCCTAATCACAATTTGTGTCACAGGTTTGACGGTCTTCACCTGTCATGTGTGTAGCCGTGGTCCGGTCGACAGCACTCCATCAGCGTCTTGACGTCCCACGTCTCAGATTTACTGCCACACAGCAACTGGTCAAGCTGCAGCAGGAGAAGGTGGACAATGAACAATTAAAGAAGGGACACTAATAGTACTA